AGAAAATGATAGTTGCATATTCAAAAAATAAGAACTTAAATGATAATATTGTTCATAGTAAACTAAAAACAATCAGTACATAACAGATACTATACTTCTCGCCCATCGGGCGAGTTATTTTTTCTAATTTCAGATCAGAATAAGAACAGAAGAAAACCCAATATCAAGACCCTTAATCCTAATTTCTAAATAAAGTGTCTGCTCCACCCTAGGCATGTACATTTGGGAGAATCAAACCCTCCCTTTACCCGAAATAACATTAAGGTAGAGGATTATATTCAATTAGCTAGTGGACATGACGTAACGAATGAATTTGATAAACCATTGGGGAAGAGTTTTACTGATGGAATAGTTATTCCTAATGAAAAACAAACTAAATAATATGGAAGTTATCTGAATCTCATAAAGAATCGTGTATCCTTACAGTGATAAAGAGGAGATGTGCTTGGATGAAACCTACGAATTTGATAATTTCGATTACCTTACTATTTAAGAAGAGTGTTAATTTTTTTTGTTTTAAATGAAGTTGAATAACAATTTCCTCGTTACCAAAATCTATAAACCTATTTTTACCATCTTTGATTTCCAGATTTATATCTTTAATCATATAGGAATTAAGTGGTAAATACGTCGTTTGAAATGGTTTCTCTATAATTCTATATCCTATCGGTACATTGAATGTTGGAAGACTGTAAATAATCTGACGTTTGTATTTATTGAAAAATCCACCGTTTATCAAATTGCAATGTATATTTATCACATCGATATCATTCTCGATATTAGCTTTTTGTGGTGCTAAAGTGGATTGGGTGTATACTCGTTTATCAAATCGTAGTAACGTATTCAATGAATTTTCTACGTTGAAATCAACTCAAATCTAATATTATTTCTTAATATCAATTTTATTTTGTTCAGATTCAAATTACCTTCGAATTCAATATTGTTTTTACCATTAACACTTCCTCCATATTCAGATAGGTATTCGTTAATGGCTATGTATTCGTAGCTTCCTGGTAGTAAACGTATGGTTTTGAATGTAACTCCGTTATCTGTTGATATTTTTATTTGATTATTTTTTCGTTGATATTTCTAATGGAATTGTAAACAGAGAAATACTTTAATCCCAATTCATATTCTTGATTGCGATCGAGTTCGTACTCATAATCTAGAGACAATTTAATGTCTGATTTATTTGAGGTGATGACGAATAGTTGTTCTTTATTTGACATTTTTAATCACGCTTTTATAATCATTTTTATCTATGATACCTTTTTCTAGGAGTCTTTTTAATATATAATTTACTTCAGTATATTGTCTGTGTGATCGATGTCCTTCCTTCATTGCCGCTAATATTACTCGTAATCTATTAAGCAATTCTTCATTATTATCAGATAAAAACGTCATACCTTGTCCACATACCATATCTTCGAATTCATCTATTTCTTGTATGATTGGTGGATAATTTTCTCCATAATCATCTACATCCTCTTCATATTTATTTAAATATGTTTCAACTGCTTGTAATCTTTTTGTGTTGGGTCCTGTCTTTTTAATTAGATGTAGAAATTTTAAGTATTCTACTAAATCCTTGCGATCGGCAATATCAGAATCCCCACCATTCATTAAATCTGTTGTTGTAAATGTAAAGTCTTTTGTATCGATTTTGAATAAAGGGTAAAATTTTTCAAATCTTATTCTATATCCATTAAACAATAAACCTTGATTATCAACGATTGACGAAATGCTCTTTGGTAAATCTGGGTCAGGGTTTGAAAAATAATGATTTATATCATCTAATGTCCTAATTATAATTCCATCATATTCAATGGGATATTCTATTTGATGAGAAGAAGGAAACGGTGGTTGTTGAATTTGTTTAGGTTCTAATTTCTTTTTAATGTCCTCTTGAGATTTTAATATGGGTTGAAATAGAGTTTGTAGATTTTCCGTTAATCCGAGTTGTTGTAATCTGTTATTTTGGTCTTTATTTTATTCTGAGCTTTGATATATTCTTTATTTCTTTTTAAAATATTATTCCAATCGCTACTCATTTTTAAAAAAATAAAATTTAACAAATGTCTGTCATAACTCTTTCACCCGCAGGTTATCTAGTATTAACGAATATATATCCATGATCATCTGGGTTTTTCCATTGAGCTTTACAAACCTTTTTAAATGCATCTCTGTCCATTCCGTGATTTATCGACTGAATGATTTGAGATAAATATCTATCGTTTAATTCAAATAATAAAAAACAATTTGCATTTTTTCAAATGAACATAGAATCCATCCCGTAAAAAGATTGGTATATGCAGTGACAGTTGTGATGCCTGCCTTTCGTGAAGAATTCTTGTTGAACAGCTTGATTTCTGTGCGCTATGCAGTCGTTAAACAATATTAAGTTCTTTCGTTTGCTATCAATATTAGACAATTATAATTATTATATTATAAGAAAAACTTTAATATCCGTTGGATTCTTTCCTTCGATGTAGTTATCTATGATATCTTTTATTTCCACTTCATCTTCGTTTTCTTCGTAATATTGAAATAGATCTTGAACATCTTTCTTTAGTAGATATTCTAAAGCTTTGAGAAATTGATAATACGATTGCTCAGGTGTTGTTGTGTAGATATACAAAGAATCGAAATCTAAAAGGTTTGGTGTTGTCAACATGTTAAAAGTGAGATGTATTTTTCCAGAACCGGAACTACCGCATATACACATGAGCATTGGGTTATTAGGAAATATTTCTGAATGATTAAATTTTTTGCCCATTTTTTATTATTTTAATTTGTTCCAAAAAATCACTCCTTCTCCTTTATACTTTGAAAGATATATTCCTTCTCCAGTGTGTATATTTTTTAAAAAATATTCCATTGCCCTTATGTTTGACTTTGATTTCTCCTGTGTCAATAGTATCTACTAATTTGTTTAATCCTTGTTTAAACAGTTTTCTTGGTTTCTTCACTAAATCTTTTTCCAAATTCTTTCATTGTGCCTAATCATATCTCCCACTCCTGAACCTTTTTTTCCATAGCTGCTTACTTTGCAGCAGCGGCTTTCTTTTCGTTGGCAACGCTTACTCCACCTGCTGTAGCACCAGCCACTGTAGTCGCCGCAGTAATACCAGCAAACATTAAAGGTAGGGAAAATATAAATCCACCTTTTTTTTACATTTGTATCAATTCCTTCTAAATCTATATCGTCTCTGACTTTACAATTTTTGTATTTATCAATATTTTTTCTAGTTATGCTGATTTTTTTACCGTTGAAAGTTATTACAGTTGGGGAATCTGTTTCAACAGCTTCTATTATTTTCATAACTAAAGTTTCTACTTTCATTTTTAAGGGTGTATTTTTTACCCAATTCTTATCATTCTTCTATCTGCTATTTTAATTAAATGTTTTGCTTTTTCCAAAAGTAAACAATAACCTGTTACATCTCCTTGTGTTTTTTTCAATGTGAATATTTATGTTCACTCCTGTTTTGAAAAGATCTTCTTGGTGAGCTGATAAATCAAAACAGAAGATTTGATGATTAAGTGCAAAATCTACATATTCAAACTGAGGTAGATTTCCAAATAATTCACACATATTTTTATAGTTTCTATACAATTCATTATAATCCTTTGTGGTTGGATTAATTGTTAATGGTTGGTTAGGATAATTATCGTTGTTTAACCTTACTTGAACTTTATGGATTAAAGGATCTTGAGTTTGGTTCATTGCCACTCTAAAGACATTATTGTTATTCGTTTGAGAATCTGGTAAGTTCTTGAAACCAACTATTAAATATCTTGCTGGTTTAATAGTGTTAGTGATTGGCCACGTAGTGGATTCTCCAGTTAAAGTCATGCTACCTACCGTATTACGATGAAGAAAAGCTATTTCAATATCTTTAGTTAACGAGTTGAATATTCTCGTTTCTACTTCAATTGATGGTGTTATTACGGGTATGAAAAGTTGGAGATTCGTTATTTCTAATTTTGCATCTGAACCATTCTCTCCAAAGAATAACTTATCATCGTTGATTTCTCTTTGTAGATGAATTTTATATGGTAACCCTATGGAAACTTTTCTATGTTCCAACAGACCGAATAAAGGATATAATTTCCAATTAACGTAATTACCCCACCTATTATTCTCAACAATATTATTGTACTGAAGTACTCGTTTTTCGAATCCATGATTAGCTGCTCGCGCTACTCTTTCTATTGTGTTTCGAGCAACAACTCTCACTCCAGCTAAATCGGCATCATTTGCAAGATTTCTTACCGGTTCTTTTAAAACACAACATCGGGTATCCAACCCGAGACTGAATCGAAATCTTTAGAATATAAAACTGTCTTCAACATTGTGTCAAATTCCCCAGGGTGTTTAATGGTTTCTATCGGATTTGAACCAGCTTCCAAAACCATCTCGCTAAATAAAGATGAAAAATTGTTTTCTAACGTTGTATTAGTTTGAGGAACTTGATTCTGAGTTCCATCTTTTATTTTGAAATCGTATCTGAAATAAGCGTCGGAAAGAAGTAACCAATTCGATAATGAATACCACCATCATTCAATTGGGATTTAGAACCAACAGTCGGTGAGATAATAATATAATCCTCTTTTTTCTTGTTAAACGAATAACGAATCGGATCGTATAATCTAAAGATTGGACCTAGTATTTTATTTGCCATTTTTAAGGTTTAAAAATTGAGTAGAAATTTTCCAAAAAAGAGTTATCTCCCTTCTACATTATTTTAAAACCAGATGTTATTTTCATATAAGGGTATTTTTAATATGCTATTTTTGATGGAATGTAGGAAATTGATTGAAGGTGTTTTTTGGTCTTTTTTAATGTAAGAATTTATGAAATGTAGGATGTTTTATGAAATGTAGGATGTTTTGCTGTAATAATTTATGAAATGTAGGGAATTTAGGTCTTTTTTGGGAGTTTACTCATATACTACTTTTGAAATGGTATGTGCGGCCAGACCTAAAGAAGAAACGGCTTTGGCGCCTAATGAAATGAGGTCCTTGTATTTTGTAACAAAGTCGCCACTTTTGGCATAAGAGACATCAACGCAGATAAAAACCCATCCCCACTGTAGGTAAAATTATGCTCTTCGTCTTCTTAGGACCGTTCTATAAATAGAAGTTTGTATAAATCAATACAAAACTCGTTACGTATTAACTTATGTCATATAAATACATTCTCACCAAAACGGCCTTCTTAGGACCGTTCTATAAATAGAAGTTTGTACTTCACGTTAACAACGACATATAATTACATGAGTAATCAGTTGAACACTGAATTTAAAGTAATAGTAGTAATGATAAATCAATACAGACTAGCTCGCAGCTAGAATATTGTCACGTTACAACTTCTACCATATATGTTTCAAAACGGTCCTAAGAAGACCGTTTCTAATAATAGAAGTCGTTTGCCTTATACTACACAGCACGTGCTAGCCTATAATATGACAAATCATCGTGACTGTGTTGGTTTCACATGTTTGTTGGTTTTATATTGATTCAGTGATTTATGGCAATTAAATCACCTTATTTCCTAAATGTTTCCTCCTCTGGATTATTTCTTAAACCATGTTTAATATTTGAAATCATTCCAACTAATTTTGAAATTGGAAACGACAAATTTTGAAGTTTTTTGTAAGAAGTTTGGCAAGTTTTCGCAATTTTCTGCTTCTTTCCATAACACACGAAAAGCCTAATCTCACACGAGTAGAACGTGAAGCTTTAAACTTACTTAAGAAAGACAATAGCATTGTTATTAAAAAGAGTGACAAAGGTTCATGTTGCGTCATTCTGAATAGGAAGGATTACGTTTCAGAACAAAGAATCAACTGAATAATCATTATGCCATTTTACCGAAACCAATTTTCAAAGAAACTGCTAACATGATTAACAATATTCTTGCCGATTTAGTCAAAACTAGTTATCTCAAACAGAAACAATATGACTATCTGTCTGCCAAACCTGATTGTCGCAAGAGACATTGGTACACTTTGCCTAAAATCCATAAGAATACAACCAAGGAGTGGTTTATCTCGAATAAAATCCCTAAAGGCCGCCCGATTATATCTGACTGTGGTAGTGAGTCATATGCAGTGTCAGAATACATAGATTATTTCTTATTACCTCTAGCATGTCAACATCACGCCTACCTTAAAGACACAACCGATTTTGTCAATAAATTAAAAAATCTTCGAGTTCCCTCTAATGCTATTTAATTTCTATCGACGTTTCTTCTATGTATACCAATATTGATAACACTACTGGTTTAACGGCAGTTCGTAAAGCTTTTAATAGAAACCCAGATCCAAACAGACTCGACGATGCAATTCTACAGGTTTTAGAGATTTGTCTTAGTCGAAACGATTTCACATTTAATGATAAAACATATTTACAAACTTCAGGGACAGCAATGGGCAAACGATTCGCCCCTTCGTACGCAAACCTTTTCATGGCAGAGTGGGAACGTGAGGTGTGGCCCCTCTGTCCATTTGACCCACTTTTTTACGGACGCTTTTTGGATGACATTTTTATGGTTTGGACTTATTCTATCGAACAGTTTTGGGAATTCTTTGGAATTCTGAACAACCACCATCCTTCTATCAAACTAACCGCAAACGTGAGTGACAAAAGCATAGACTTTCTCGATACCACTGTCTTTAAGGGAGATTCCATGGCAGAAACAAATAAACTGGATATTAAAGTGTATTTCAAAGAAACTGATACTCATCAACTCTTGCACAAGAGCTCCTTTCACCCAAATCATACCTTTTCTCGTATAATTAAGTCACAAGTTTTACGATTTCATCGAATTTGTACAAGATCTTCTGATTTCAACCAAGCCTGTACGATTGTTTTCTCAAAACTGAAAGAGTGTGGGTACTCTAAACGATTTTTACGAAACATAAAAAATTCCATCTTAGCACAGATAGCAGCTAAAAACAGACTTTATGCCGAAGTACCTCCAGGTTTAAGAAGTGCTCCATGTTTGTCCAGTAGATGCAAAACATGTCTCTTTATATCAGAAACTCATTATTTTGTAAGCAACTCTACGAATAAAAGGTAACCGATCCAGGAACATCTAACATGTGAACATTCGAATGTAATATATTTAATTTCATGCAAGAAATGCCCCAAACAATATGTAGGAGAAACTAAGAATAATTTACGAACTCGCTTTAATGCTCATAGGTCAGACATCAAATTAAAGAAAGACAAGCCTGTTTCTAATCATTTCAACCTCGACGACCATTCAATAGACGATCTCACCCTAATCCCAATTGAGCGTATAGAAATTGACTTGCCCAAAGATGAAACTACCAAATTCCGTCAATCTAGGGAGGCCCATTGGATTGAGACATTGAATACAGAAAGACCTATAGGACTAAATATTCATCATAATGTAGGCATAGCACCCTTTGTTGTCCCGTTTAATACAACCAGCAATCGAGCAAGCAAGATAGTTCATGCCCACTAGACTTCAAGAGAAATTCCCCCATGTCTACAAGCAGAAAATGATAGTTGCATATTCAAAAAATAAGAACTTAAATGATAATATTGTTCATAGTAAACTAAAAACAATCAGTACATAACAGATACTATACTTATTTTTTCTAATTTCAGATCAGAATAAGAACAGAAGAAAACCCAATATCAACACCCTAAATCCTAATTTCTAAATAAAGTG